TCCCTTCGCCTCCTTTCCTCCTCCTTCGCTCCTTCCATCTCTCCTTCCATCCTAGCTTCCTTCCGTCCTTCCTTCCTTCCTTGATTCGTTTCTTCCTCCCTAGCTCTTTCCTCCTTCCCTCCTTTCCTCCTGTCGTCCCCTCCTTCCTTCTCCCATCCTCCAATCCTCCCTTCCACCCTTCCTCTTCTCCTCCCGTCCTTCCTTCTTTCCTTCCTTCCTTCCTTTCCCTCCTTCCTTCCTTCCCTCCTTCCTCCCTCCCTCCCTTCCTCCCTTCCTCCCTTCCTCCCCTCTTCCTCTCCTCCTCCCCTCCTCCCTTCCTCCCTTCCTCCCTTCCTCCCCTCTTCCTCTCCCCCTCCCCTCCTCCCTCCCTCCCTCCCTCCCTCCCTCCCTCCCTCCCTTCCTCCCTTCTTCCCTTTCTCTTCCCTCCCTCTCTCCCTCCCTTCCTCCCTTCCTCCCTTCCTCCCTCCTTCACTTCCTTCTCTCCTTCCTTCCTTTTCCTCCTCCCTTCCTCCCCTGTTCCTCCTGTCGTCCCCTCCTTCCTTCTCCCATCCTCCAATTCCTCTTCTCCTCCCGTCCTTCCTTCTTTCCTTCCTTCCTTCCTTTCCCTCCTTCCTTCCTTCCTTTCCTCCTCTCTCCCTCCCTCCCTCCCTCCCTCCCTCCTTCCTCCCTCCCCTCCCCCTTCCTCCCTTCCTCCCTTCCTCCCTTCCTCCCTTCCTCCCTTCCTCCCTTCCTCCCTTCCTCCCTTCCTCCCTTCCTCCCTTTCCTCCCTTCCTCCCTTCCTCCCTTCCTCCCTTCCTCCCTTCCTCCCCTCTTCCTCTCCTCCTCCCCTCCTCCCTTCCTCCCTTCCCCTCTTCCTCTCCCTCCCCTCCTCCCTCCCTCCTTCCCTCCCTCCCTCCCTCCCTTCCTCCCTTCTTCCCTTCCTCTCTCCCTCCCTTCCTCCCTTCCTCCCTTCCTCCCTCCTTCACTTCCTTCTCTCCTTCCTTCTCCTCCTCCCTTCCTCCCCTGTTCCTCTTCTCCACCTCCTCCCTCCTCGCATTCTCACTTCTTCATAAGTGAACGGTTTTGAGGTTTTGCTGTTTGCCTTTTTGGGTTAACGCGATGGTTCGAAAACCATTCGACTGTTTTATAACATATCTCCAAGAAAAATTCTGGATTTACAAACTGCTTGATTGATATGGGGACACTCCGAAAAGAAACGCTTGTTGGTCAAGCAGCCAATCGATTCGCAACCGTTTCCGTGAAGGCTCAGTCTCAGCACTGTCAAAGAACTGATACAAAGCCAGGTCTAATTCATCTTCTAGATCGCCATGAATGCGTTCGTCCATGGCAGGAGGATCGCTATGAATGCGTTCGTCCGGTCTTTTCCTCTCTTTTGGGGTGGGTTTATCTTTATAATGTGTCCCCAAAGAATTGGAACTTTCTAAAAGTTCTCCTATAAAACCAATTCTCCTACCATCAAAGGCATATCAAAAAGAAATCAGCTCCTGCAACATCTTCTGAGGGCACCATGTGGCACAATGATTTTAGCTTTCAGGCCGGTTGGAAAACCAACAGCCTGTCGCACTGCAAAGCTTTGGCAAAGCTACAGCTTGCTCTTGCTGCTCTTTAGCCCCGACATCTTCCTGCGCATGCTTCTGTCAGCTTACGCAAGACCTCAAATAGCTGCCGTGGATGCTTTGTGAGGGCCTGCTGCCTCCGATGGTCAATCAAGCAAGCCACGTTCCTTCTTTGGGCCGGTGTTTTGTATGCTCGTCTTTTTTTTGATGCGCCCCCCCCCCCCAGAATTGGAGGGGTCCGAAAACTCCGTTTATAAGTCAATCAATCCCCAAACAGGCGAAAGAAAAATACAAGGGGTTCGCTTCAAGTGAGCCCTTGGCACTCAGTTCTCACCATCTTCAATAAGCACGGAGTCGCGCAAATATGTTGATGCAGTGGATAACATGCTGCGCTTGCGCGTGTGCCTGCTCATCTAAAGACATTATGTGAGGCTTTGGGCCTGGGATGCTGAAACATATGCGCGGCTTGCTGCGGATTCACAGCTATTGCTTGCGTTTGCAAGCGCCTTAACAAGAACCAACGACGAAGCACGATGCGCGGATTCGCGCGGATTCTCAGCGGATGCGTAAAAACTACTTCGGGGTAAGGCCGCGGATTCGAAAAAACACAGGAAAATGAGCGCGGATTCCGATCCGGTATTCGAGAATTATAAAAGAGTAAAAGGGCACAGCGAAGGAGCGGATTCCAAACAGGCAGTCTACGGACACCTTGCATTGTATGGGGGGGGAGGGGGGGAAGGGAGGCCAAAGAGGCTTCGATTCCCAGAATCGCGACGGTCATGGAACGGAACAATTTATAGGATGAACCAAGAGCCAAAACAACGCTCTTCTCTCCTCTTCTTCTCTCTTCTTTTTCTTCTTCACCACCACCAAAAGGTCGGCTCACAAAGGGCGAAGCCCTCAAGCAGAGGCCAAGGTGAGCTGGAAAAAAACGTATTAAAACT